CACAATCCTATACATGTTTAAACAGAAGAAATTCCATTGATTCAATGGCCATTAGTGCAAGATGTGAGTATACAATTCCAGGCCCAATTACATCCACTTATGCATATTGATTTTTTTTTCTGTAACACAATGCTAGACATTAAAGCATTATGCCTTTGTCAGAAATATGCAATTCTACCGAGGGTATGTAGATAAAACTTCCCTTTTTGTCCTACAGTAAATAAAGCATATCTCAATAGATCGCGCAACGGGTCTCAGTGTGTAAAAGTCAAGTCTTTATAGAATGCAAACTGAGCTTTCTTTGCAGGCTTAGGATAAAATCACTAGCGATTCATAACAGTTGTGCTGACAGATCAGGCAGCCATTACATAACTAAAGGAAGTAGCCACAGCACAATAGCTTAAATAAAATTAAACTTTATCCCTTAGAACAGGGAACCAACTGAACTTTTGGGAGCTGGGCAGGCAAAAATGTAAGAATCCTGCTTCCCGCCCTTCCTAACACAAATCCATTTCTCCTGATCCTCAAACGACTGATAGTTCAAATCTGCATTTTTTCTCAGAGAAGAATCTATAAGAGAAGAAAATGGAAAGCCCACAATGATTTCTGTTTATAGGGTTGGCTCTGGGCACAAGAACGACACATTTGAAATCAGGAGCCTATTAATTATCCCAATCATCCAAGCAGCCTATGAATGGCCTTATGTCAGCTACTATTTTTGCATACTGGATTTCTCTAATTTAGGCTGACACTGCAAGTAACATACAGTATAATGTAGACTGGACATTTCATATTATAACTTGAAAGAATATTTGATTCTGTCATTGAAAGGTAAGTCTCTGGAAAGGCTAAGCTATTTTTATTTTTTAAAAAATAAACAATGGTGTAGGGAAAGTGGGGAAGTAAAACAGTTCTCACTGTTCCTAAAGCAATTTGGAGTTTAGCACTGTGAAGTTTCCAGCTGGAGAGCTTTGTCAAGCCATGTGTTTGGAGCTACATCACAGGCTAGATAACATTGTTGAAATGCTGGACAAAATCCTCCAATGAGTCCTAAAAGATCAAATGCATAGAGAATATAAACCTTTAAATGAAACTGAGAATACATTTTTATACCCCACCCCGGCTCAGCTGTTTCTCAAGTTTCTTTCTCAGGTTTCTAGCCTTTCTCAATCAGCTTTTTCTCTATGTGTTAGACTTCAAATCCCATAATCCAATAGTCCTGTTGACTAGTACATAAGAGTCCTGTTGACTAGTACATAAGAGCCCATCTGGTTGAGGAAGGTTGTTCTAGATTTAAAAAAAGAGAGAGAGTTCTTCTGAAATTAGAGGTCGAGACCTGTAAGCAGAATGTATTAAAGTTATTTTTTAAAAATTACAAAAGGCATAGTACATAAACATGCTACCATTGCAAAACACTGGCATTTTAAATAATACGCCAATGTATGAAGTGGGCTTCTAACACTTACATTTCATTTGCTTGAAGATAGATTTGTTGGGCTCAAGCCAATGCTGTAAAAGAAAGATAGAAGCCACCAGTCATTGCAAAATACATCATTTTCTTACAAGTAGAAGATTGTAATAAACTGATAACACAGTTTTTATCCCAGCTGTGATTTCTATTGTGTTTCTGTTAACAGCTGCAAAAGGAGGCACAAAGATGTCTGAGGACAGAGGGAAAGGAGCATCTGAATGGTCCATAAGTTAGGCATTCACCTGACCATTTTTTAAATGTCACATTTGTGTCATAGTTCATTTATGTAAATCAGTATTTCATATCATTTTTGAATTAATTGAATAGGTTAAAATAGTCATATAAGTTATATTTCTTAAAATGCCAAACTGAAGACTTTTAGAGAACTTTTTTATTACCAGGGCAATTTGGCATTAGTATCCATCTTTACTTTTTTGTTTTTATAAGAACTTTATTATATTATATTAAGAATACAATTAAAATCAAAAAAAGAGAATACAGTAAAGATAGAAAATAGAACTGAAAGAAAAAAGACAAAAACTAAAATAGTGAAGATAGAATAGAATGGAAAGCGACTTCCGACTATCTCCCAACTATCTCCCAACTATATTTCCGATTATCTATACAGATATAAATACAAATTTTTAAAAAATTAATCTCTTACCACTAATTAATCCAAATTCACATTATTTCTATCATCAGAAACCACCTAACTATTAAAACCCACAATCAACACTTTCGTCATCCCCCCCACAAGCATGTAATCTAAGAAGGGTTGCCCTAAGGAGACGAATTTA